AGCGTAACTTTTGTTCTAGTGGTCGAGCGTGTCAGATATTGATAATGTACATGCTCCATGTGTATTTAATAATAAAAAACTCTTAATCTGCCAGTTTGCATGGTGGGGTTGAATGTTCTGGAGAGTACAAACGAGAACCCTTCAAAATCCCCCCACTCTTGCAAATCAAGTTGGAATGGGCAGATTTTTTTAAACGCACTTCCTTTAGCACGGTATTGACCTACCTTCCCTTAATCTGACGAAACTGACTTTATTTAGTCAGACTTTTTTTTAATATTCAGTCCCCCCCTTCTGATCAGATCGGATATATGTTGGGTATATTCAACATGACACTAGGTTTTCCCCATATGTTAATCTGACGCGCTCGAGTAACTACCGAAATCCCTTCATGGGCGGGCTACTATAGATCATTTCGTCATTACAACATTTATAAATATAGTTTATTTTAGATCAGCAGACAAAACATGACAGATCTTTTATTTTTCGAAGCCCTATTAGAATCCTCGTCTTCTAGTATTGTAATTCTATATGGTTACTTTTTGACTGCCTCGTTAGCCGAATGGTCGCAACCGCGACTACCGGGCAAAGGATATCGGATTCGATTCGCGGTACGGGAAAGTTTGTCAATCAAGTTTGGAATTGCGCCCGGTATATGACAATAGGCTCACTCCTTATTACATGGGACTCATAACATAAATAGTGAAAAGTGGGAGTTACATTGTACAGTGGCATAAAGTGTACCTTTGCCTTTGGGGATAAAAGGCGTGATATTATGTTATGTTTCTTTTTGTGTGTGTGTTAGTAATTGGTATAAAACCGCGTTAAAATGTTAAATAAAAGAATATTAAAATAAACAGAAAGGTTCCTTTTAACATCAATAGTGCATGACCATAATGAAATTACAAACTCTTCTTAAAATTCGAGCATCGAGAACTTAAATTTTGGCCCTCAATGGTGAAAGTGGAAATACACCTAAAACATGTTTTATGTCCCGATCATAAGCTTGGTTATTGTGTGGCTGGCTTCATGTAAACTCTATTAGGTATTTAAAATGAAATTAAACAAAGTATATACAGTTAAATTAAATTTAATAAACGATGTTAATAAAATTAGGGAAGTTTAAAAAATAATAAATGTTTTCACCGATGTATTATATAAGCGTATGTGTTTCAATCATTTACTTTATCTTTGTACAAATTAATTTTGTACAAAACCAGCCGTGATATCATCTGGCATTGACTGCAGATGTACTATCATTTAGTTTCTTTTTGATAAGTACAACTGCGCAGGTATATAAAATTCCACATTTTGATTTTTATACGAAATGTCATTCCTTTTCATCATCATCGTCCTTTTCACCTTCTCCCATAGCTTCCCAGTAAGTTGGAGGAGCCTCGCCTACCTCCTGATGACGGAACACCATGTTATCACCAATCTGCACTGGTATCGACAATTTAACATTCCTGTGAGGCATTGGAACTTTAGCTATGATAGTCACTATGTATTCTCTAGACACTAAATCAGAATGTTCTAGAGACACACATCCAAATGGAACATCGAATTCGAAAAGAACTTTGTGTTTGGCTCCACGTTCTATAGCTTGAGTTTTATTGTAACAAGGTTTGACATCATCAAAGAACCTGATCTCTTTATAATTTTGTATTATTTTAAACTTGTAAACTTGAGTTAGATTGACTTCTACCCAATTCAAATCAAGGTCTGTGTCATTATGTATGTCGCATTGTATTTGAATTTTGCCTCCGTGTGGGATGACTGAAGTTAAGATATTTCCTTTCAAATGTATGGTCCTTATTTTGCTCGAGAAGAAATTAAACAAATTATGGCTCTTTGTATGCACGTAAGGTTCCATAGGTAGACTTGGAGTGACGCTTGAAGCCACAATAATCTTCTTTCTGAAATGTTTAGAGAAAGAAAACAAGCCTGATCTTTCGAATTTTATGCGTACGTAGTATTTAATGTAGGTGTACACAGTGTATGGTCTCCTAGTCCCTGAGTATGTTAACGATGGTGGTATATTTTGTGGCAGTTGGAAATTAAATCTCGCTTCGTAATCACCTGGTGGTACTGTCCAGTTTCCTTCGTGGATTATTGCGTCATAGTCTACGTATAGTTCATCTCTTATATAGGTTCTGTTGCTTCTATTGTCATTACTATTGTCTCTATAAATTAATTTTAGAAACCCCATACCTTTCAATGATATTATTATTCTCTCAGTTTCCATTGGTTCTCTTAATGTGTATCTTATGATTCCTGAGATAGTTTCTCCAGGTAGATATACGGCTTCTGGTGGTTTATTTAGGTTTATGTTACAGAGTACACTCATTTTGTATAGATTTTAACTTTTTCACTATTGGCACTGTTTATTATTTTTATTACTTTCCTAAATATATTTATTATTTTTCGTACCAAGTATTCTCTTCCAGTATCTGTATCGTACTACAAGTTTTTGCTTTGGTTTATCAGATATGAGATACGATTGTGCTTTATATCCAAATGTTAAAAGATAATGGGTACTGATACATGATAATTTCGGTGCTTGATTAGTTGAGTAATTCCGAAAGCGACTGTCAAATGTGGGGTAGATAAAGGCCTAGATCTATTACAAATTCGGATCAAAAGTGAAATTGTTGTGTGGAGTTTGTCTGAAATTGTTAATAAAAACATATCGGGCAAAAACTGTACTTACTACTTGAACATGTAGTGTTTTCTTTTTTTTATGGCACAAGCCGGTAACCGAGCAGACGGATCACCTAATAGTAAGCAATCGGCGTCGCCCATGGACACTTGAAACACCAAAGGTCTTACAAGAAGTGCTTTCCCGGCCTTTTGGGAATATAGGATTTGAGGATTGTGGAGGATTCGGGGATTGGGGCGACTGGAGAAAAGGGTAATTGGGCCCCCGGCAAACCTTACTCACACAACGAAACACCACTCATGCATTATTTCACGTCGGTTTTCTGTGAGGTCGTGGTATAACTCCGGTCGAGCCGGCTCATTCGCGGCGAAGCATGGTTCTCCCACACAAATTATGTTTTCAATGGAAAAATATGAAGAATAAAAGTATTACTAATCAGGGTAAGGTTCCAAAAAATTATCGTAATAAATAATCCTTTTTGTAATCCAAGGAAAATATTTTGTGACTCATAATTGTATAGGATGTGCATTTTTCAGATAATATTAATTTTAAATTCATTGGATTTCCATCATTTTCTATTAGTCACGAAAGGTTTTATCGCCACACACTACCGGAAACTATGATAACGTATTCGTTGCTTTTATGATAATATTTTTATAATAGAGGATTTAATTTGATTATCCGATTATAGTAGGGACATGCTGTAGATAAACTTATATCTCCATCCGTTTAATAAAAAATATAGACATAACATCACGGTTTTTATCCCCGAAGGAGTAGGTAGAGGTAGGCACTTAATGCCAGTGTACAATGAAACACCCATTTTTCACTATTTATGTTATGAGTCCCATGTAATAGAGGGTGAGCCCGTTGTCATACAATTCCATACTTCGTGCTACTATTGAGAATTACAAAATCCAGTACTTTGTTCGAATCGGGAATCGAACCCGAAACCCCTTGCCCGACAGGTATGTTATGTATGTATGTATTTAGCAAAAACAACAAATGTAGTACAAACGCTTCACCTATAAACGGAACCCTAAGACCAAGAACACATGAATTTGTCATCGTCACATCAAACAGTAATTCCCAAAGGCCTTCATCAAACTCAAGTGAACATTTATAATAATATAAAGGCGGGTACACAAAGCACACTCAAGCAAATACGCTTCGCTTATTCCAATGCGATGTGTCTAATGCCTAAAAGAGAAAGGACTTCGTCACACATATAAGTGTTTGCTCAAGCGATAAACTGGAAAATTCATGCCTAACATGATGTAAGATTTGTGGCGATTTCGAAAATAAACTTTGATATTAAAAGGGTAAGATGGTTTTTTGTTTGTAATTCTTTTTTTTGTACTCATACTAAGGGTTTGTGTTTTGAGTTAAGAAAATAATATTTATTTTAAAAGTTAGGTAGTATAATAAGATTTCAGATCAGATTAAGTAAATATTATAATACTAGCCTAAGTAGCTTAAGCGTCTACGCTTAAAGAAAATTCCACAGCTTTGTAATAAACACAAAAAAGTATTTAAATCCAACAACCGCCCTACGTATATAAGTTTTTAATAGGGTAGATGCCTAATTATTATTCTAATGTCCGTCTGGTAGATTATTTAAAAACATTATATACGTATTTTTTATTTTTTTACGGAAACGAATAGTTTTGAAGATATATTGATTTGAAATGTCGCGTGACGTCACTTCTATGTACATTTTATACGTAGAAATGACGTTTTAGCCTAAACCCCCACTTCTAAACATTGATTCGTTATATCTAAGTATCATTTTATTATACGACAAAACAAAAAAAATACCTGTCTAATATTTTTTCAATCGCTAACTGTCGTACTAATCATTTTTAATTTTAATACCCTGTCATCATCCCTATTCTACAAATCTCTTGATTCTCAACGCAGCCATTGTTATCTCTAAGTTCAACTTATTCGAGTAGAAACCAAGTCACCTCATCTCACCCACCAACTCATATGTCACAACATGTGAGTTGGTGAAATGGAAAATTTGAAAAAACACCTCGTTATCTATCCCATCACGTTGTAAATATAATAACAGAAATGTCACATCGTTCCGTAGAATACTAACGTGAAAAAGGGGGGAAGTTGTTGGTAGAAATGATAAGTAATTTCATTCTTAGCTTCACGACGTAAGTGCGTTTGTAACGTGAATTCTGTAATATGTGTGTCATTTGTTTTTTTTTTGTTGGACAAGTGCTTTGATCCATTAACAATTGGGTACTTGTCAACTAGTCAAATTCAATACTTTTTTCGAACTGTTAAAAACGATAGTTTTAAGAATTTTGTACGAGATTGTGTATTGTGACGTCTCGTTTTTTTACCGTACCACAGCATACTTATTTCTTAAAAATGTGGTTATAAAATACTAAAATTAAGTTGATAATAAAATCAATTAATGAAAGTGTGATTATTTTTTAATATTTTATTGTATTGAACAGTCGAAATAAAGAATTTTTGATTAAGGCAATTACCCATTTGAACTTGGACAATTGAATGTATGAAGAGTTTGCACAGATAAACACAACAATTGAATATGTTACCCTGTCAGAACTTGTGTACAACTTTTATATGGAGTTGCTTTATAACATAACATAGGTAACATTTTTAGGTTTTGGGGAGATTGGGGAGGGGGGTAGGGTAATTAGGCCTCCGTCTACCTCACTTACATAACGAAATACAAAGCAAGCGTTGTTTCACGTCGGTTTTCTGTGAGGCCGTGGTATCACTCCGGTCGAGCCCGACTATTCGTGCCGAAGCATGGCTCTCCCACAATTAATCTACATGGATCCTGAAATATCTAGTTTTACATTTAATTGAGACTGCCTCATTGTCCGAGTGGTCGCAAGTGCGACTGCCAGGCAAGGGGTCTCGGGTTCGATTCCCGGGTGCAAACTATTAGTGGGGTTTTCAAAAATTCCCAGTAGTAGCACGGAGTCTGGAATTCTGCCCGGTATATGGCAATAGGCTCACCCCCTATTACATGGGACTCATAACATAAATAGTGAAAAGTGGGTGTTACATTGTATAGTGGCATAATGTACACCTCTGCCTACCCCTTCGGGGATAAAAGGCGTGATGTTATGTTATGTTATATCGAAATTGTTAAGGAAGTTAATCAAGATTCTGTGTCTGGTCTACAGCAACAGATTAATATATTTCACAATACTTACAACTGAATCGCAAATACTACTACCACTAAAACCACACCTTTACCACAGGTGCAAATTCAAAGACACAACATAAATACCTACTTCTCAAACTATAATTTATGAGGTCCTAAATAAACTCAAGACACATGATAAGTTTCAATTCTTTGGTGTCCAAATATATAACAACAAGGGACCGAATAATAATGCTAGTTGCCCTTGGAACTTTGGACTTGAAACTTGAGATAGTTCCCGAAATAGATGATGATGTATTGAAGGGTTGTTCAATATGCTGTTGTGACGTATATTTTCGTGTTTTAGTACTTATTTAGTTTTGGGACCTTTTTTATAGCATAAGCCGGTAAACGAGCAGACGGATGACCTGATGGTAGGCAATCGGCGCCGCCCATGGACACCCAAAACACCAAGGCATTACAAGTGCGTTACCGGCTTTTTGGGAATTGGGAATTTGAGGATTGTGGAGGATTCAGGGATTCGGGAGACTAGGGAGGGGGTAATTGGGCCTCCGGTAACCTCACTCACACGACGAAAAACAACGCAAGCGTTGTTTCACATCGGTTTTCTGTGAGGCCGTGGTATCACTCCGTTCTGAAGCATGGCTCTCCCACACTTAAACGTGTGTGATAATTTTGGAAACAAAGTCTTTGGTGTCGTTTTTATTGTATTTTGGTTCACTCTGTTTTATAGTGTAAAATATGGAAAGTATATTTTTTTTCATTTCAGGTTAGCAAGTCCTCATGGAGCCCCCTCGCCTAGGAAAAGACGAAATGGACTGTCAGATTCTTAATGACTAAGAAGGTAGACTAGAAAGGTAATCGCTGTTTCCGTCATTATTAATGTTAAGTTATTACCTTACAAATGGTTTTTAATCAGATAAAGTGAATATGAGATATTAATTACTTACAGTGTTGTTTTTTTTATGGAATATGAATTTAATAGGCATACGAGCAGACGGATCACCTGATGGTAAGCGATCAGCGCCGCCCATGGACACCAGCAACACCAGAGGAGCCACAGGTGTGTTGCCGGCCTTTTATTATTAAATTAAAAACTACCCCTACATAGCTATTTACACCACTGTCTACCTCTAAACAGACAAGCAAGCGTAACTTTTTATTTGCGTCAAAAACTTTTACACAATTTGAGGAGAGGTACCAGGTTCACATGAATTTATAAGAGACACGTCGCGTCGAGCACTTGGATACAAAATACAAACCTATTTAAAGCGTTGCGTCGGTAAATTCTAATGAAGAGGACGAAAAATGTTTGCGTAAAATTGAGTTACCTACATATGAACACATGACGCTATACAAAACCAGTTTATCGTGGTCTGGCTTTGTATGATCTTTCTGCAATGTCTACAGTCAGCTTATACTGGTTACTCGTAGCTTGATGTGAAAGTGTGTACTCGTTTTGAAAGCAGGTCGCATATGTAAGAAGAGAATTGTACTTGATTGTCAGAAGTCTTTATTAATGACGACAATT